CGCACATTCAACAAAATATACAAAGATATACTTCAAAAATGATGATTTTGTTGTACTAGGTAAAACTTTAAATAATAATGCTGAACAGCTTCTGTTGACTTTTTTTTAATAAATTGGTTTATGTTCCTTTAAACAATGTGCGACAGGTACAGGAGCAGCGTGTTACCTGGATGATGAAGGTTGGCAAAGGGCAGCTGTGAGGCCTGCATACTCCGACAGAGAGCTGCCATGGCGACCACTTTCCTGCGATGGTTACACAGTTTGGTCATGTCCTGCTCAGCTTTGCCTAATGGCTGGCTGTGCTGCTCCACCTTCACTCCCACAGTGAAGTTGAAAACCTGCGGATGCAAGATAAAACAAGGTTTAGTCAATTCTGAGAGAAATCTTTGCGTAACTTTTCATGAAATGTATGACATTTAAGGGAATTGCACTCATTAGTCACACACTGACCATGGCTTATTGCAGACTATGTGCACTCACACATTTAAAGGTTGATCATGACTCCATACAGTTAGACAAACTTCATTCAAACAGTTTGTCATGGGTAATTAATTCAATACATGCGGGAATGTCACATGTCCTTCGCAACGAAAGCCTTCCAGTGCTGCAACTAAGTTCCATGCTACTTACATATCACCATCAATTTGACTTAATGTTATGGTTTCTTTATGGAAACACAATGTCTTGTAATGGTAAGTGTTCTACAGCAATATCAAAACTCATTGCTATAAAAAACAACATGTATTGATATCTTCAGTGTCCAAACAAATGAATAATATAACTAGCCGACCACACTGTCAGTTGAGTTTGAAGAGAAGTCAAGATGTTAAAATCTGTGTAGAGATCCACAATCAACTCTCCAACCGTGTGTATGTTGTGTAACCACACTTAGACAACACCCACACATGAATATAAAGCGTATTGGCCTCCTTTACCTTGTGGATGATGATTGGACACTCAAGACCACACTTGCAGGTGCCATCCATCAAGAGATAGGTCTTGACCTCATCCAGAGAGCATAGGGCAGTGTCACTAGGACTACAGACAGAAGAAAAAGACAAACTTTAACAGCAAACTCAAAGAAAAGATATGAACAACAATAGATCTCAATATTAATGCTCATTGAGACTTGAGATTGTCCTTCACTCATGGCCATGTGTAGGGCTTTACAAACTGCAAGCTGTTGTTGTTTACATCACTGCTTCAGACAGCCTGACTGCTGTATGAGAGAAATTATTTTGAACTGAAGCAACCCACCTGACATAGATCACCTGCCCGCCATCCACTCTCCTCTGCCAGCCGATGGGGACGTGTATTGCAGTGGTGTGGACCCCATCCTTGTCCCCACTGACAGTCTCACTGCCTCCCATCATTTTGTAGCTGCGGCCTGCCAGCACCTTGGAAGAGCAGCCAAACGAAAAGACACCAGGGGTTTTATTACAAATTCCTTTGGGCAGATAATCATTGTGTTGTATTTAAAAAGTCATTGTCACTGTCTAAATTGTTTGAATGTGTTTGTCTTTTATTTTTGAAGTAACAGAATGAAAAGGTCCAACAGCATCAGTAATAGCAGTAGTTGTATTGTATATTTGGCATCACATTTCAATACAAATTTGGAAGGACACTTTATCAGGACTTAAAATAGTCACGTGAAGTTTCTTTATTCGGCCCACAATCCCACCCCAGCTGAACTTCTTTTCAAATGAAAGCATACGTGCAAATATAGCTAGTGTCAGTGTAGTTTGTTGGGCCTCACATTGAGTCACTAAATAAATAAATACATGCATGCATAAAACGCATGAACGAATGTCTCTGCATAAAGTCTTGAGTGCTCCAACTTGCATGTGTGTGCACCACATGTATCTAACTAAACAACACTAAATGATGACGCGGGAAATGATGACTTCAGTCTACGTTTAACAGAATCATGAAGAATGCTTCAACAAAGGCTGATCATTTAATGTATGCACCATTTCAATATCAATGACATAGACTATACCTTCCAGCTCCTCAATGTCCCCAAAAAGGCTGGCAAAATGCACAACTTCTACTATTTTACCTATGTGTGCAAGCTCCTGACAATTCAAGCTTCTACACATTGTAGCATATTCAAACCCAAATAGTGTACCAACTGTTTACCAGTGGGTGTGGCCAAGGCAAAGATGTTGGTTCGCTGTCAAGGTTATGCATTCAAATAAATAGCTAAAGCATATTTAGCTTACCTTGTCATCTTTGAGAAGCCAGGATCTGTTTTTGCTAGGGTGTCCACTGTCCAATGTACATGCTGGTGGATTAGAAGCACACAGACTGCCAGTAAAACCTGACTTGATGCCGAAACAGCTGGATTTTCCTCAGCTATAAATCAGATCTTCAATTTAGAGGATGACTCCTGCAGGTTTATTTGTTCAGGTCACATCAGAGTAGGATCTTGGATGAAGATAGGAGAGCCTGCAAAGTAAAGTGGAGGTGGATTATGTAATCTGGCAGGCACAGCCAGGATAACCAGCTCATGTAATTAAGCATTGCTGCTGTTTATGTAATCAAAGCATTTAATAAAAGTAATTACACCGGATGCATCGAAAATAAGACAACTTCAGAGCAAGCTGGGGCTACTTTGAAGTGGGAGGGTGTGTTTGGATAGGCCCCTGGTCTACTGGATGTTTAGCTACAATATAAGCAGCTGCCTTTCCAACAAACAAAATGTATGCTCACAAATAAGCAACATGGAAAGCGCTTAAAATAAAAACCTTCAAGGAAATTGTAGTTGAGCTTAAGTCGACATCTCTGTAGTATGCATAACAATATCTTATTAACTGCACGACTGGTCCACGGCAGGCTAGCAGCTAGGCTAACAGCTAAGCTAGCAGGCTATCCTACTTTGTACTATGTTGTCGTGACAGCTGTCAGGCGCACAAAACACTCCGATGCAAAACTCTTGCATGTTAGCTACTATTCCAGAAGCGAGCCAAACACAATATGACTTTGCAAAAAGCACTATGAATTTGATCAACATATTGCACTTACTTAATGACAGCGTAAGCTACGGTTAATGTTAGCAGGACCTATCAGCCTGTCTCTGGTCGGGCTCTCTCTGTGGTGGCGAAGTTTTGGACTCTTCGCTTTTCTGGCTCGCGGGAGAATCAAGAGTTAGCTGGCTAGCTAACGGACTAGCCAGAGAATGTTTTGAAAATGGACAATACTTCATTAAATAACCGTGAAATGAACAATCCCATCCTTCAATCTGCGTATAAGCAGGCTCAATCAGTTCTCAGCGTTTATGCAACGTCTGCCAGACCGATTTAAAAACAAAGGGCAATAACGCTTCATTTTACTGCGCCTGGGATCTCGGGGCTAACGCTAGCAGCTAGGCTATCAGAGCTAACTGACTGAAATTTACTTGATTCTGGAGAGTGTCCCAACAAGACTGTAGGATGTCCCGCTCCTGGTGCACAGTTATCCAGCCACTGCTTTGGTCTCCACTCTGAAAACCCGACTAGCATTCAAATGTATTCCGACAACCTTAACGATTCATGTAATCCCAAATTCACAGTTTCCCACTGTTTTTTTTTCTTACAGATTCCGAGCAAAAAAAATAATGGAGTTTTCTGTCGCGCATGCGCAAACAGCGCCCAGGGAGTATTGTACCCGACATGCAACGGGACCTTTGTAGTGCAGACAGACATCAGTGCGGAGCTCCTTGATAGAGGACATGATAATGACAGAATAATAGCAGGCCCATGATTCATCTCTGCTGCTCACAATGATAGGCTCATGTGCATCAATAGGCGCAATTGTAGCCCAGATAACACAACCTTTATCAAAAATACAGACATTGTTTGCAAAGCCTACCCAGTTACACATGTATTTTAATGTGTACATTCTAACTTTTAATGCATATCACTCTTAAAAAAGGGTACTGAGAGCATACTCTCATCCTTGGTTTCCCAAAATAGATTTACATGCATATAGAAATGTCTCTCAAGGCATTGACGTTATTTGCTTGTTTTTATATGTTTGGTTTGACCAGTGAAGATTGAATTATTAGTAAAGCAGGAAAGGGTCATGAGCCCCAGAACCTCAGGGGATCCACCGCATGGTAATTCGAATAATATCAAGTTTGTTTAGTAATACTGTATTTAACACTAAAGCACACAATAAATAGATGATATGAGCATTAAGGTGTCACCTGAATCATTACTCTTGGAGGAAGGCCATCTAGATTATAGTTTTTTTTTAATGTTTTTTTTATATATTACCACAGTAAAGTTAGTATAGGTTGGATTGGTTGTCCTTTGCTCCAGATTGACCCTTTGAATACCAATGTGTAGCAGATAGAATTACCTCTCTGGACAAATAAGACTCCTCCTTCTATTGCATCCAATGCTTCTTCTCTCTACATACATATTCACACAGCAGTTCTCCATTCCAATATTACTTAACTAGAACTATGCTTAACTTAATAGGAATATTTAATTGAAAATGATGCACTTCTTTAATTGAAAAGTATCATTAATTTTCATAGGCTTCCATGCAGCAATGCATTACGAATATTTAAGTTTTATTTTTTAGATATTTCTTAGGGCTCAATGAGTCCAAGAGATATCTAAAACCTGCATCTGCATGGGCCAACAGCTTATTTAACGCAAGACCCCTGGTTAATCTTCTCTTACCTTCAATATCATTTAAATCATTAGTTTTAAACACATTATTTGTGGCACATTTCCATGCTCATAAAAGAAAAGTGTTTTGATACCTCCACTTAAAACCACATAATTGTCAATGTGACCTAATGAAATATCTTACATCTACCACAGGAATAAATACTTCAAATACAAGGCCACACACAGGTTAGTGCATTGTTCTGGGTCTCCAAAGGATGAAGTACAGTGAGCAGCATGAAGACAGAGGGCGAGAAGGTATCTGATTTCCCCTCGTCATCGGGGCTCACTCTGAAGTTCCCAGCTGTTGCAAACATTCAGCTTGACACACGAGTGCTCAGTTTAGCACACACACAAACATAGAAACACACGCACACACAAAACTATAGATAAGTTCACAAACACTATGAATCACAACCCAGCCTGCAAATCACTTGGGAAAACACCTAAGGAGGTTAAAGATGGAATAAAGAAAGGGCCCAAGTGTTGACGCAGAATCCTGAGGGCCAGAAGTGAGGCGGCTGCTTTTTAGACTCTGTGATCATATGCGCTCCAGTCAGCAGGTGAAGGACCGAAGGACTCCCAGTGAGATTTACCCACACTGGATGTTGTCTTTTTTTCTCTGAGCTTCCTACATTTTCAAAAGAGGTATGTTCCAGTTTGAAGTTTAATGTTTGAGCTTTTCTATTCAGAAAATGTGTTTTGATGAAAAAAGCAGAACAATTAATTTATTTGATTCCAGAGGCAGCAAAATGAAGCTTTAAATACTAGCTGATGATCTACTAAATTCTGAATGTGTTCACTATTGATAAAGTTTGATTTTTATTACTGTCATACTTCCAAGAGTTTGAACTTCCTTTCCTGACTCGCACCCAGATTTAGCTGTGATGAGATTGAATTTCACAACCCTAGAATAGTTTGGGTCAAGCTGACAAGTGAACATGTAGCCTACAGTATGTGGGTCTGTGTAGACAAGAGAAAAACACCCTGGATTTAAGTGTGTTTTGTGGCTGTATGTTTCTGTGTGTGTTAATACCATTTCAACATTACAAGCACCACTTGTAATTCTGTTGTGTATATTTTTTATAAATCATTTTCTACTACAAATGTATAAAATAAGACAAAATACAGAGCCAAAAGCCATTCAAAATATGAATTCTATAATCTGTGACTTATTTAATACAGTTGGCTCTATGAACATTTAAACATTTGCTCATAGCTTCTGTTATTTTACAAAACATAGAGCCATATAAATGTTAACATGAGTAAAGATACTTGTGCATGTTTGAGGATAAAGTGGAAACAGAAGTTTAGTTATTCAATAAAGTACGCAATCACTTTTTTTCAACTGTGCTGCTTCAAAAATGCAATAATTATTATATTATTTATCCGCAAAGCTCTTGACATTATTTGGTTTATAATTGTGTCTTTCTAGGTGGGGGAGTAGGCGACTGACATTATCAACCAAACATCATGGACCAGTGAGTATTTTTCCTGAAATCAGTTCAATGACATCTGCAATACAACGTCATGCTTGCCAAACATAGCCTGCCTTCACTTTACCCACAGGCCTCCATTTGACTGATATGTAACAATCATATACTTTGTGGTCATTTTAAGTTATCAATAGGAAACTCCAATAATAAATAATGAAGAATGTGTGTGTGTGTGTGTGTGTGTGTGTGTGTGTGTGTGTGTGTGTGTGTGTGTGTGTGTGTGTGTGTGTGTGTGTGTGTGTGTGTGTGTGTGTGTGTGTGTGTGTGTGTGTGTGTATCAGGGAGGAGGACAAAAACTCTTTGGATATCCATGACAACCCTCCCGCTCCTGACAACTTTGTGAGAGAGGACGGAGACACAGTGAGTGACAGAGCCCGCCCCCCCCCCCCCCCCCCCCCCCCCCCCACTGTTAGCAGTGCCATTCCCCGGCTGGTTTAAAATAGCAACAGCTGCGAACGGAACGCAGTGCAACGTCAATTAGAAAATTATGAGGATTCAGTTCAAGTTCTTCTGTCTTTTACACTCCGTGGGTTAAAGTGACACTGCTGGCTGACCTGTACGGGGTCTGTTCGTGTAGAGTTAGAAAACACTGAAAAGTAGGAGATGAACAGCAGGATGAAAATATTGTAAAAATCACATAACATAAACAACATGTGCACATATTTAGTTAAGCACAGAGTAGTGATGGTTGAATCGAGTTGAATTGAGTAGATGCATTTGTAATCCAAGATGGCAAAATCTGTGTTTTATCACAAAAAGCTGTGCACATCTTCAATTATTAACTAATTAGACATCTTGTTAAAGTATTTATTTTTAATATTTGTATGGTATATTTTCTTCGTTTGTAAATATAAGTTTCTTGTTCATATTTTAATATTATCTTTTTTTATTGTATTGATTGTCTTCTTCATTAATTCTCTTTTTTGACCCATGAAACCTGTGTTTATTGAATGTTGGCCATAAACTGAATTTTGATCTGGATTTTTTCAAAGCAATTTGAAAATGTCTTCAAGCAGTATGACTTTTTCCGTGTCATATACTGACTCTGGACGGATCATTTGTTTTGATGGGAACATCCTTTTTTTCAAATCAATAATTTCATAGCATAAAACCAAACATGGATATCAATTGTAAAAAGTGACACAAGAGTATCACAAGTTGTCTAAAAATATGTCATACAAATGTGACACCTAATCACTGTCCCTTTCTGATCAAATGATTTCCTCATTCTTATTAATACTTCCCTGGATTGAAACATTGCTCTGGTGTTTATCTTTTTTGAATTACTGAGATGTTCTCTTGTGTGTCCAGGTCTACTTCATTTATGATGAGGAGGTGGAGGTTGAAGAGAAGGAGCCAGAACCTCCTCCTCCTGTCGTCCGGATCAACGACAAACCCCACAAGTTCAAGGACCACTACTGCAAAAAACCCAAGTTCTGTGACGTCTGTGCCCGCATGATAGTCTGTATGTATTAGAAATGATGTCGGAAAAACATACATACAAACATCAACGTTCAATTTCTCATACTTGTGATGTTTAATATGCCCAAATGTGATGTCTGACTGACACAATGTTTATTTTTCTAGTGAACAACAAGTTTGCTCTGAGGTGTAAAAACTGCAAGACTAACATCCACCACTCATGCCAGTCTTATGTCGAGTTCCAGAAGTGCTTTGGCAAAATTGTGAGTAAAGCGTCCTTCTCTCTGACTTCCCCCTGGTATTCATGACTAGAGGGGTTGGACTCAGTGTGTGTTTGTCTTCTGCAGCCTCCTGGCTTCAGGAGGGCCTACAGCTCCCCGCTGTACACCAGTGACATCCCAGATCCAAGTGAGTGCACTCACAATATGTCTTAACCTGTTAACTGTTGAAATATCTAATTATGAATGTTTGCTGACCAGACAACCCAAACAGGAACGACCCGGTCTTTGACACTCTGCGGGTCGGTGTCATTATGGCAAATAAGGAACGCAAAAAGAATGAAAATGACAAAAAAAATGTAAGTGTTCAATTCATCTTTAATAAAAATGCAAAACCTTTCAAAACTATTTTCAGACATAACAGCGTTAAATACCTTTTGATATATGGGTAGGCTGCTGTCCTGATTTACAAGATTGTTCCTCTAGATGATGATGATGATGGAAGAAGAGGAAGAGGAGAACCAACAGCCCAAAGAGAATGAGGAGGGAGGAGAAGGTACAAATCAACTATTAGTACCATTAGATGGTCTCTGCAGTACTTTGCCAACAATGTGTGCATATTTATATAACCAACATGGATTTCCTTTTTTTGGTGCAGAAAAATTCTTCAAAAGTCACATTTTTATATATTCTAGTGGCCAGTTTAGTGAACCTGGAAATGTTGAGTATACCAAAGTTATATGTTTGAAATGTATAGTACGGGTCCCCAGAACATTTAAAGTGCCGGATGCTAACTTGCTGGGAAATTTGCGAAATAAGCATAAGTTGCGTTATGTAAACAACAATAAAAAAAATGACTTGGAGTGATTTTGGTAGTTTTTGAGGATGCTGAATCCTTTACTGTTCTGACATTCTCTGGATTTAAACCATGCAGAAAGTGGCCATATTTGTTCTTTCTGCGGGATGATTTTGACTACAATGAGTAGTGTTGGGATTATCTCTACTGTGGACACATATTTTTCAAATAAACGGCCAATCTGTCCAATCCAAATGATCCAGGGTCCCCTAAATCTTCAAAATTGACCCAAAATGCATAGAAATCAGCCCACAGAGAGAACAAATATGGACATTTTCTGGTTAAAAACTTCCATTTTTGATCCTGAAAACGTCAGAAATTGACTCAGCATCCTCAATCACCCCCGAACCACTCCAAAATTGTCCAAATCAGCCTAGCCATTTTTTAAACTATTGTCCCAGGCTATGGTAATTCATGCTAATGCACATGTTACAAATTAGCATCTGCAGTGTCTATGTGCAGTTTGTATAATTGTATACATGATGTTTCATGAAACTGAGTGTACTCATCATTTCTGGGTTCACAACAGGACTCTATGAGTTGACATTTGACTCATAATAGAGAATAACATGGTAACTATTCAAATCCTGCATCATCTGGCTTTGTTGATGACTGATGTCCAATCACTGCAGGGAAGCCTGATGATAAGAAGGAGAAAGGAGAACACAAAGCAGAGGACAAGGTGGGAACAAATATCAACTAAAATCTTTCGATCTCTCAAACAGCTAAAAGTGTGTGCCTGTTCCCCACCTGTATGACTCGATGCGTTTCGCCCACAGAGCAAGGGTACGTTCAGCCAGACTCACTTCTTCCTGGCTCTCTACCGCTTCAAGGCCATCGAGAAAGACGACCTCGACTTCCAGTACGTTTAAAACATGCAAATTATTCCCAACATGAGATTAATGTGCAATTTGTATCTTCTTTATTAATCATGATTTTCACCAAACTACACTGTATTAATAATAATGTATATGTATTGTGTGTGTTTATGTATTAGCCCTGGGGATCGGATCACAGTGCTGGATGACTCCAATGAAGAGTGGTGGAGGGTGAGTTCACCTTCATCATTAGTTTGCTTTATTTAGCTGGGTTCTTTAAATGTGCCCTTTCAGTTTGTGGCAAACCAGTTTCAGTCATACCCTTGTTTCGTACTTGTTGGGTGAACACTTCTTCTTGCTCTATTTTCAGGGAAAGATGGGGGAGAAGTCGGGCTACTTCCCCACCAACTACCTCATAAAGGTGCGCGCATCAGAGAGAGTCTTCAAGGTGTTGCGCTCCTTCGTAGGGAACAGAGAGATGGGACAAATCACACTGAAGAAAGATCAGGTAACTGCATTTAAAGGTCCCCTACTCTTTTTCAACAATATAGTATAGGCCTCAGATTTATACAAAACATGTCTCTAAAGTGTTTTGGCTCGAAACACCAAATGGATCATTGTAGCATGCTGCTTTAGCTGATTCTGGGTCTGTAGCTTTAAATGCAAATGAACTGCCGAATCTCTTTATATATTTATGTTTAAAAGACGTGAAAAAGTCGATTTTGCATAATAGCTGTGTGTTTAGTTAAACAACATGCATTATCTCTCTGATCACATACTGTAAAAACGGAATGTGTGGAATCCTTTGTGAGGATGCGTCACGTTGAAACTGTTGCTGAGATGTTTAGTTTAACTGCTGTCACTTTGTGTTTCAGATTGTGGTGAAAAAAGGAGACGAGAAAGGCGGCTACTTGAAAGTCAGCACTGGACGCAAACTGGGCTACTTCCCTGCTGATCTGCTGGAGGAGATCACTGTGACATAAGAAGAGCGACATGCAACGAAAGAGCCTGTAACACTTTAAACATCAGCACAGCTTGGACAGCATTAGGACGATGCTTCTGATCGTTTCTATAACGGCTCTTTTTATGCAGCAGATATGTTATGTGGTGTATTTGTGCCTTTGATACCAAATGAAGCATAGGAGATTAATGAATAGTACATTGATAAGACACACTCAGGTGATGTATGGGCCTTTTGTGGAAACCATGGTAATGTAGTCAGATGCTTTAAGTGAACACCTGCTCATTGTAGCTTCTAGGAGAACTTGGACATCCTAGCATAAACAATAAATCAATCATATTGTTATAAAAATCACCTTTAACATTACTGCTAATGAACCAATCACATGGCTTGATTAGGTATAATATATGAATCAAATATGTTGCTATGTATTAATGTATCTGTCTAATAAATATTTTAATGATAATTATTATTGTCTGATCATATCTATGACTTGACTGGTAACATTTACACAGATTCTTATTGCAACTTGAAGCCTTGTATTCATTCCAAACGCACATACAGCTTTCCATTCAGTGTCTGTTGAATTCCAACACAGAGAAATGTTGTCAGTAGAATAGAGAAAAGTAGAACAAAAGTAGAATAACATTTAAAAAAAAACATTTACTCAAACATACCTATAAATAGTAAAACCAGAGAAGCTGATAATGTGTTCAGAACTGTAGCTTGACAATAATATATTATTTTAGTTTGGGTTTATCTTGATGGGTGCGCCCTCATGTGGTCACAGAGACCAACTGATTCATTACCTAAATACTTAGGCTGTTCTACTTGAAGGAAATGCAGTACAATCGTGCAGGTATTAACAACAGGAAATGGCAAGAAATGATGTGCGAATGATTTAATTGATACTAAAGTAATCCAAAATGATGGAAGGTTTGCGCAAAGTTTGATTTTTCACAGTATCAGGAAGCCCCACATACGCAGGGCATCAAAAAATTGTTTGAAACTCTTATTGTTCCTCTCCACGGAAATCTTTAGTAAAAGGCGAAAGATTTATGCGCTCTGAAGAGAAACAAGAGTGTATTACTCATTGAGTGCTGGAGTGACCTTCTTGTATCTCCGCCTTATGATCCTCACTTAGGCTTCACATTTCAAGTAAGACTTAAAAGCTAGTGTTTAATGATTCAATTAATATTCACAAATACAAAACTGTATGTGAAAGAAGAGCTCTCATAATTGCACAGAAAAACCGTTGATAAGAGATTCAATGTAACAAGTTTGGTCTGTTGCAGAAATGGGCGCGATGCATTGTGGGAATATGGCGCCCCTGAAGACGCCTCTGTTGAGAAAAAACAGTAAAAAAATAAACTTTTATGTTTCGGTAAAAAGTGTAAGAGTGAATGCAAACACATCGATACTTAAGAATATATATATGACATTTTGTGGAGTCATATACTGCTAATGACAGATGTATAAAGACAACTTGTGTTGTGTTCAATTTCCTTACATGTAAACTCCCTGGGACTTGACGGGTTGTATGAATCTCTCTCTGAGAGGACAAGAATTTCGATTTATATTTCACAAAGAGAGGAAGCCCCACATACGCAGGGCATCAAAAAATTAGTTGAAACTCTTATTGTTCCTCTCCACGGAAATCTTTAGTAAAAGGCGAAAGATTTATGCGCTCTGAAGAGAAACAAGAGTGTACTGAAGATTTACAGAGTGAGCACCGTACCCTATTCCCAGCGTTAATACCCTCACTTACGGTTCAGTATAAAAATGTGCCATTTTTTAAATAAACATTCAAGTTAAACCGCCTGGCATTAAAACACCAAAGACTCACTCCCAAAATAACGTTAGACCTGATAGATACATGTAGATAATTATACATTTAGAACTATCTGTCACCTGCGCTAAGCATTGTGGGAATATGGCGGTGCTGATCACGCCTCTGCTGTCTTCTGTTGTTTCTTCGTTCCTAGATCAAACTCTTCTTTCTCCTTTCACTTAACAATGATGATACTGTTGATAAAATGATCATGAGAAATGTTTTCACCAGTAAAAGCTTAAGTGTTACTATTATGGATGTAAAAACTGAGCCATTATGCTTACAACCATCTGCTCATGCGCAAACCCAACAGAGATGTTATATATGTCAAGAGAGTAACTCAACGGTTTCTGTCCATTCGTATTGGGAATACATATAAGTAGGATAACTATTTATAGCCAGGTGCAAACTTTAAGAGAGCACAGTTCGGCACATTTTTGTTTGGACAACAATTCCTGTGTGTTTGGAGTTTTTATTTCTTTTTTGGTCAAAATGGTATTTGTAACCAACGGAACGAGGACAGGAGCACTATTATACCTACTATGGCAGAGCAACAGACACAGACTCTGTGAGTTTTGATTATCTGATATGATCGAGATATTAATAGGCCTACATTGTGTCATGGCTGGATTTGCCAAATGCGGCCAACCATTCATCATAAAACCAACACTCATCATAAAAGCAAATCAAAAACAAGGTTTTATGACTATGTTAATCCCTGTGTAAAAGTGGCAATGTCTTCAGTAAAACTGCCAGCACTATTAACACTGCATTGCGAATCAAAATATACATCTATACCCTGTATAGTTATTACGTTCCCTATTAGGCTAGGGGAACTAAAGGGAAGAAACACAACCAGATTTGTATAATTAACAGTATTGGTATAATTATAAGTGTATTTATTACAAGCGGGTGAAACAAAATGGCAGGCAGGCAGGCAGCCTGAAACACACAAATTGCCACAAACGCCGGTTTACATAATAAACAAGAGGCCACAAGGGCGCACGTTTAAATGGGCAACCAAACTAAAGAAGGACTCTCAAAAGTGAGCCTGTTTACACACCTGAAATCACTGAACACTACCGAAAGGAAACAAACAAAAGAGCCAAAAGGACACAGGTTGATAACCAAACAAAAGGAGGGCTCAAAAGGAGTCTAAATGCATATGGGGAAAATAAATACTAATATACTAAATAAAGTACGGACCAAAACCTCACTTTAACAGTGGTACAACTAACCAAAGGAGTCCACAAAACACAGCTAAACTACAGGCAACAGTCACAAAATACTAATCACTCTGAGTCTAAACTATCTAGACACAGACCACACAAGTTAACCATAGAACACCGAGCAAGTAGCGAGAGGCGTCTGTTCCTCAACAGAGCCTACAGAGTGATGATTGTCCCCAGCTTTGTAGTCCTCTCCAGCAGGTGTGCGCTGGGCTTGCGCAGGGATTGGAGGACGTCGGGCCCGGCGTGCTCCAATCAGTGTCCTCGGAAGTGGACCAGGAGATGACAGCCAATGATGTTGGGGCAACCACACAGGGCATTTACATAATCACACAGCTGCAGACAATCCCAAACAGGTTACCGAGCAAGCAGAAACAGCAGCCGTAACAGATGTCCAAGTCTCCAACTTGGCTCTTCTGATGGCTGGCACAAAAACATTGCTTGAAATAATAAAATAAAAAAAGTATTCAATGTGTGTCTCCACTCCATTAACACAATCAAATATGGCTGCTTGTTACGTTACGCACATCATTTCCGGTGACACATGCAGTTTAATCAATTTAATAACATATTTGAATTGTTTTATTTTAGACAGCACAATTATTACATCAGATATGTCTTCCAAATACAATGTTATACACACACGAGCCTTGTTTATTATAGTCTACACTTGTAATTATTTATTATGTTTAAGTTTATTCATGGTAATGCTCTGGGATTTGGTGTCCAGGGCTGCTGGGTCTTCTTAAAGGTTGTTTTGTGTTTTTCTGTATTTTTCTTTTTGTGTTTGAATGTTTTTTATGTCTGTTTTACATTAATGGTTGAATCTAGCAATCTTTACAATCATGAATCGCATGTATGCGTAACAAGTGACAGGAGCATTATTTGCTATTATTTCCAGACTGGATGAATTAAAGGGTATACAAATCATTCATTTGAATATCAGGAGCCTATTGCCCAAAATTGATTTACTTCGGATATGGGTTGTTCTACATAAACCTAAAATCATCACACTCTCTGAAACTTGGCTTAATAGTAACATTTCCGATAGTGAACTACAAATCACAAATTATTTGCTTTACAGATCCGATAGATGCAGCAGGGGTGGAGGTGTGGCTATTTATGTCTCCTCTGACCTTGTGACTGAGCTAATTGCTACTTCTATAGAGCCTCTACATTTTGAATGCATTTTTCTTAAAATAATTTTTCATGAAAATAAATGCTTAACTATTGGTAGCATCTATAGGCCACCTTCTTCACCTGCAGTCTTTTAACCATATAATTGACACTATCAACTCCATTTCCTGTGGAAATGAAATAATCTTGCTTGGTGATTTCAACAAAAATTGGTTGGATAAATCATCTGATAGAGAGAAAAGACTTTTCAGTAGTCTAAATGTTAAACAGCTAATTAATGAGCCAACTCGTATCACTCTTAGAACCCAATCTCTGCTTGACTGGATACTGGTGTCACACCCTGACAGAATCTTAAAAGCTGGTGTCATGTCGGATTGCTTCAGCGATCATTCAATTGTTTATTGCGTATGGAAAATCAAATTAATTAAACTACCTCCAAAACTAGTCAAAATCAGACAATATAAAAAATTGAATGTTGATTTATTTATTAATGATGTTGTTGCCCTTAATTGGGACAGATTTCAACTTATGCCTTTTGTACAAGATGCTTGGGATTTTCTGCATAAAGAGCTCACTGATGTCATGAACAAACATGCACCTGTGAGAACGATTAAGGTCAAAGGTCAACATCTCCCTTGGATCAATTCTGAACTCATCAGTCTCTTTAGGGAAAGGGATAAAGCATGGTCGATATATCATCATTCAAGAACTATAGCCGATTGGGAAGTATACAGGCATCTCCGAAATCTGAGTAAAACCAAAACCCGAAATGCTAAATCCAACTACTATAAAGAATCTCTCACATCGGACTTTAAGAATCCCAAGCAATTTTGGACTAAAATTAAATCTATTTTAAATAAATCAGGTAAACATTCTATTAATAAAATAAGAACTGCTGATACAATAATTAATGACCCATTATCCATTGCCCAAATATTTAATCAGTATTTCGCTAATGTATGTTCCACACTACTATCTGACTCCTATTTGACGACTGGTATTTCTAATAGTAACTCATACTGCAACAGTTATTTTTCTTTTAAGAAAATTCTACCACACGAAGTTCATAATGCTATCACAGAATTAAAAGTGGATGGCAGTGCAGGACTCGATGGTATAGAAAACAGGTTCATAAAACTGGCGTCCCATATTCTCATGTACCCACTTGCTGATTTGTTCAACCTGTCTTTGTCCACCTGTGAGTTGCCGACTATTTGGAAATGTGCACGCATCATTCCACTGCATAAAGGTGGTAATTTACTTGATACAAATAATTATAGACCAATCTCTATAATCTGCTCTATTTCCAAAGTTTTGGAGAAAATAATTTATGATCAACTGTCACATTATCTCAATACTTATAATATTTTATCTCCGGTTCAATCTGGTTTCAGGCCTAATCACTCCACAACAACTGCCCTACTTAAATTTACGAATGACTTGTACTCTGCTGCAGATGATGGTGAACTCACAGGTGCCATTTTTATTGACTTGACAAAAGCCTTTGATTTCGTTGATCGATATCTGCTCTTGGATAAACTTCACGGCATTGGCCTTTCTAATAATACAGTGTTATGGTTTAACTCGTACCTTCACAGTAGAAAGCAATGTGTGGTTGTTAATGGAAAACAGTCTGACCTGTTGATCTAACAAAAGGGTGTACCCCAAGGATCAACTCTGGGCCCACTTCTGTTCTCTATTTACATAAATGATTTATCTTCTTGTCTCATTAATTGTTGTACTCACCTTTATGCTGATGACACTGTCATATATACATCCAAATCAGATTTTTCACAAATTCAGATCTCTCTTCAATCGGATTTTAATATCTTACAGGACTGGCTATCACACAATAAACTACTGCTTAACAAATCAAAATCGTATACCATGGTCTTTGGTACCAGGCAGAAGCTCAAATCCAAACCTAATGTAGTAATAACATGTAAGGATGGCACTTCTCTGCATAAAGTTGATAGCTTTAAATATCTTGGTGTATGGCTAGACTCTGAACTTTCATTTAAACTACATATAAAGCATGTAATACAAAAAGTAAATTACGGAATCAGTGTTTTACACCGCTCTCGCAATTGTTTTACGCTCAGTGTCCGAAAGATAATTGCTTCTCAACTTATTCTTCCGATTATGGACTATTGTGATGTTGTCTACCAAAATGCACATAAATCAGATCTTGCTCCACTCAACATAGCCTACAACAGACTATGCAGATTTGTTCTTGGTTGTCCTTTTCGTACACACCACTGCACAATGTATAACCAACTTAAATGGCCTTCTTTAAATGTAAGAAGACACACGCATTGGCTTCAGCTGATATTTAAATGCATTTATCTTAACTATCCCCCTTATTTAAAGCAGTATTTTGTACCCTACTCACCAATTCATCAAGTTAGACATTCTGTTCAGATTTATTTATCTGTCCCCTCTGCAAAAAAATTGATTGGCAGAAGAGTGTTCATGTTTAAAGCCCCAACTGACTGGAATACTTTACCTGCTGCTATTAGATCTCTTGCATCATTGGGTTTATTGAAACATGCATTATCATCTCACTTTCAACTGGTCTGTACTTGTTATTAATTAAACTGATATTGATGAAACTGATTTGCTTGACCGTCTCAAATTGTAATGATTGTATGCATTGCTTGAATTTTACGTACAGACTGTATGTGGTTTGTCTTGTGTGTCATGTTTTGCATTTTGTCTTTTTGTTTATGTATGTCTGTAAGTTGTTGCTATTGTCGGGACCCCCTTGAAAACGAGATGGTGCATCTCAAGGGGTTTATCCCAATCAATAAACATTTCTATATATACACATTATCATGCGAATTCAAGCTATCTTTAAATGTTGAGGGGGAGCATGACCTTTAATTGGTTTCTGTGTTTGCCTCTGATTCTTCATTAAAGGCAACTTGACTGCTTGATTAGCTTCTTGCAGTGATGTGTTGGCTTACAATTCCGCTGATAGGCTGAGCAGTGGCAGAGTCTCAGCAGACTTGTCAGTGATTTCTATTTCCCGGTGAGAGCCCTTGTCATTTTGTCAGCCTCTCCGTGGCGGCTGTATGCAGGGACAGCGGGGAGGCTGTCAAACTGTGCCCGTCTGACAGCGCCTTTCTCCGGGTTGATGAGACATAATAAGGGCCGGCCAGGTGATGAAAATGAGCAGGGAGGGCAAGTGCGTGTGTGTGTGTGTGTGTGTGTGTGTGTGTGTGTGTGGTTTGTGGTGTGTTGTGGGTGGGTGTTGTGTGGTGTGTGTGTGTGTGTGTGTGTGTGTGTGTTGTGTTTGTGTGTGTGTGTGTGGTGTGTCTGGTGTGTGTGGTGTTGTGTTGTGTGTGAGAGAAATACTTTCAATGCATCGTTTCTCATGTTTCATTACAAAATTATGACCAATTAGAAAGATTTCTCTTGATTAATGTGTGTGTGGTGTGTGTGTGTGGTGTGGGTTGTGTGTGTGTGTGTGTGTGTGTGTGTGTGTGTGGGAGAGAGAGAGAGAGAGAGTGATGAGAGAGAGAGAGAGAGAGAGAGAGAGAGGAACAGATGAGAGAGAGAGAGAGGAACAGATGAGAGAGAGAGAGAGAGAGAGAGAGAGAGAGAGTGTGTGTGTGGGGGGGGGTTCATTCACTCGAGGATTTTTGTGTCTCACTCATGGTCTCACTGCAGAGGGTCTCCTTTACTTTTTCAGTGCGTCTTCAGCTTGAACTCAGTAAACAGCACCTGTTCTGCCGGCACATTGTCTCAGAGACGCTCCGCTCTGCGCATGGAGACACGCTGCTGCAACATGAGAGCGCTGTGTTTGAACTTTGCCATCACCTGTCTGTGGCTGCTCCATTCTTCGGTGAGTCAAATCCTCCTATAAAGTTGTGTGGCTCAATAAAAAATGCGAGGTGCTTTTGTATTTTTCAGCAGATTAAATTAATCAAATTACCGATGGAGTCCTGTTCTGTTGCTGTTCATCTCATTGCAGCATTGATGCACTGAGTGTTTTTTGAATAGGGGATTAGTTGGTATTGTGTAATTGAACCCATAAATAATCAAGCAGCATCAATCATTTCTTATACATTTGAAACGGTTCTGTTTAAAAAGATGATAATAAAATCAAGTGTTATGATGGTATGTGTTTATGCTAATATTGGTTAAGAGAGACAGTAGCCTACTCTTATTGATCTTATCTGAAGAAGTTGACTGAGCTTTTTTGACTATCTTGAGACTGATCTTTGATTTGACTTGGACTTTTGAAAATGTTTCACTGAAAGTTAGCAGCTTGCTGTTTTTAATTCAATGAGTGAAATGTGCACTAGTCTCCTGTTGCCCTTTGTTTTGCTATTCAGACTCAGTATCTGAAACACTGCCTTGGGATCATATAGTTGACACTTTTATTTGACGGTGAAGCTCAGCTAAAACGTTTCTTATTGTTCCTTTCTCAAAATGGTAATATATTCCAGTCTCGTTGTCTGTAATTCTCTTACAGGCATCATTGTAATGTATTCGTCTCCCCCGTCTTTAATTTAACTGCCTTAACTTTGCTGCATGAGCAGTGGACTGCAGCTCTGTATACATTAACAGTGAAGCTGTCATGTGAATACCTCCAAGCAGCTCATTCTTATTCATTGAACTAAATGATTGTGCAGCCTTTGTCACTTTGAACAAGTTAATTTCAGCCTAAAGGCTTAAGAAGGACAAGATTCAGGTTTTTGTTCATCTGTTACTGACACAATAAGGACCTTTGTGTTCTTTAGACAAACTGCTGCTCTCAGGTTCCTCGGTGTGTGTGCCTCTGCAGGTGAATTTGCACAAGAGTTGTGTGTGCATCCACTCCACCACAGTTGCTCAGTTGCAGTGGCTGCGCTGGCATCTTGACACAGAGCCAATGACACGGCTGTCAAACAGAGGGCTCCAATTAGGGTAGGTGAGAACAGCACTGCTGGAGCTTGTTGTGTTACAGGAGAAGTCAGAGATTGGCACACAGGCCTGGGCTGGTTAGGGGTGATGTGACTCCCATGAGAAATAATGATATCCTAGGAGCTGTTTATTCAGAAATGTGTGGGGAGAAACACTTTAAAGCTCCATCAGCCTTCATCCTAAAATGGAATTAAAGTCCTAAACAACAAGAGTGCACAGGAAGTCTCGCCCAATTATGATCCACACCTCCATTTAAAAATGGAAGTGTTTAATGAGAGAACAGTTCTGACACTTGGATGCACTTGATAAGTTATTACTTTTAAACACTTAACATTGAAATTGTACGATTGTGCCTCACACTTTCACTTTTTCACTGTGTGGTGATTCTAAGATATATCAATCATTAATATTTATTGGGATTTGAGCATTTGAATATAGACAGCAGCAGTTTGGCTGCCTGCCTCACTTTTTCACAGTCCTCTTCCTCTTCTTATATATTTAATACGCATGTGCTATTTTTTCACTTTGAGGGACAGTCAATGGGAGTTAAGCATGGCTCTGTGTTTTACTGAAGAAGTTATGGAAAACAAATGATTACTGATACCAAAAAACAAACAACAAAAATTAACACTGACTACTGTCTGTCTTTTGTATGAAAATAGGAGGGAAGAAGAAAAAGGAGAATGTTTATGAATAAAACACGGTGAATCCAGGTAAAAAGCTTGATCCCTTATTCATTTCAAGGAGTCCAAATCAATGTAAGAGGGTTTACTGGGATATGACGTGAAAGGTGAAAGGGAGGAAGAGGGATTTTGAGACTAATGAGTTCAGCACAGAGGGAGCTGAGTATGAAGAAGATGCTGCTTCAGACTCTCCAAAAGAGAATCACTTCCACAGTTCCTCTCTCTCTCAAACATATTGATTAATAAGCTGGTAGATTCAGTTTATTATCAAGGTGGCATTGAAAGGAGGCTGAGAGGGAGAGTGAGAGGGAGGACAGTCAAATTAAAATGTGTTATTAGCAACATGAGTGTGACTGTGTGTGTGCTCTTGTAAGTCCTTGCCTGAAGGAGCTGACCTATTGATCAGAGGCAATTTCAACTTGTTTTCATTCAGAGGACATCATAGCATAATTATTTATAATCGATTATCTGCAACCTTGTGATGTAAATACAGTGAAACTGTCCTTCATTTGCGATCATACTGCTGGCCTCTTTCTCCTCCCTCCTTATTGTGACCGCCTACACAAAACACATCCTGTGAGATTGCATTTACTGTATTCAGTTTAAAGGTATCATGCAAAATGCACTTTTTTATGTCTTTTATACATAAATGTGTGTCCCCCGGTGTGTCAGGGAACTCACAAAGTGTCAGAAAATCAGAAAGTCTCTTTTCCTCCGTACCCAAATCTCTAAAAACGGGGGTACAACGGAGCTGATCCAGATTTGCTGCCAATATGACACAATATCGCTTTACGCCAACGGCCCTATCAGAAACGTTGCTATCAGATAGAATGTGCAACGCGTTATGGACGTAAGATGGCCTTTGTTTACTTTAGAAAGCATTGCTAACACTCAGAGCTAACATTGCACTGGAAAAAAGGAACTCACCTTGTTGTAAAACCGCAAGAGAGAAAGCATTTGAGCTCCTGTTTCATAAATAATCCTTGATGTGGTTTTGAACATAATATGGCGTTTAATCACGGCAGCGTTTAGCCGAGTATCTTGGTAGAATTATCCTGCGTGAGCTCTCCTTTTATTTATTCATTTTAAAGCTACGGACCCAGAATCAGCACTCCTCTAAAAGGGCTGCAATAGAGGGTTATGAGCAGGGGGGCACATAACCTTTTTAGTGAGTTACTCAGATGAGTACCAGGAGACAGCGTTTCACGTAGTGTGGTGTTAATAAGTGCAGTCTTCCCTACTGTCCTCCTCAGTGTCTCCTTCACTGTCCTTTATTTACACTTCTTGCATGTTAGATGCACCTCCCTGTCTCTGTTTGAGCCTCCGATTTGCTTTCTCCAAAACTTGTTGCCAAAACTGTGAAGTCCTTGCATTTACATCAAATACTAAGAAATTATTACATGACTACAATGTCTTTGGTTTTTTGATATGTCTAATAGTTTACTCCACTGAGTGTTGACAAGAAACACATGTAGACAAAATAAGTGTTTTGTTTTGATGACCTATCAGGTATGCAAAGGCGTAGTGACACAAGTGACGTTACGCATTTCAGATTCTCGCCGCGCATGCGTACCTGCGTACCAGTTATGTGCACCCCTGGTTATGAGGCATGGCGATAATGGGTGATCTGTTTGGTATTTTGAGCAAAACACTTCATAGACATGTATTTATATATCTGAGACCTATAATATATGCCTGGAAATAGTATAATAGGAGACCTTGAAGCTCACCTTAATTTCCCATTTGTTATCCACAGGTCCAAGAAACCGCCCCGCCCTTGGAGTTCCAGAGCCAACAATGGAGAGAAGAGGAAAGAGAAGCAGGAGACGCACTGGGAGCTGCTTTGAAAGTCAAAGACCTACAGATCATCTCCACCAAACAGAAAACTGCAGCTCACGGCACTCTGGGTCCGTATGGATGGCCTCAGAACTTTTCCCAGGCCCTGGATCAGTATCTGTACCGATCTCCTCCTAAATCCAAACCTCCTGCCAAAACTCCCACAAAGGCCAAGAAGATCCTGGGCTGGGGAGATTTTTACTTCAATGTGAAAACGGTGAAGTTCAGCCTCCTGGTGACAGGGAAAATCGTGGACCACATCAACGGCACGTTCAGCGTCTACTTCCGCCACAACTCGTCTCGTCTGGGGAACATATCCGTGAGCATCGTCCCGCCCTCCAAAGCTGTGGGATGGGAGGTTTTGGATCCAGCAGCTGAGGGTGTTCCCACCAAAAACCAAGTCCTGGTTCCAGATCTGACGTCCCAGCTCCAGAGCCCGCCCCAGTCCACCAGATCTCCTCCTCCAGAGCAGCAGAAGCAGCAGCCGGACGTGGTGATGGTGACCGAGCTCAACTGCAGGATCGAGTACCAGAGAACCAACCGGTCCAAGAAGACCAAGCCCTGCCAGTACGACCCCGGGCAGACCTGCTACTCAGAAAACACGCAGTCCCAGGCGGCCTGGATCTGCGCCAAACCCTTTAAGGTCATATGCATCTTCATCGCCTTCACCGGCACCGACTACAGGCTGGTGCAGAAGGTCTGCCCGGACCACAACTTCCAGACGGCGCAGAACCAGCAGCACTTCGGATAATGGTTTCTCAGAAATAACACACTGACTTTTCATCTGTCTTTTTTTAAATCATGTGTTTAGTTTTGAAATTATAGGTTTGAGATTGACTGTTTCTACTGTATATACACTGTCAGTGTGTGCAGCTTGGACCTTATTTTTGTTTTAATGACATTTATATATAAGCTTTGTGTTGTCTAAGCATCTACAGAGAGCTCCACATTGTCTTAAAAAAGCAGCCACTTGATCCACGGTATCACTTTTTGTGTACTTGTTTTGTATATATGCCTACAAAATGTATATATGCGTTTATAAGACTTGAAATCTATAACTTGATTATCATTATTTGGAAACAATGGGATTTCTTAGCTCATTGATACAAAAAAGATAAAACTTAAGAGATAGAATTGGGTAGTTTTTGAAACGAGATAATTGTCTTTTACTATAGTCAGTGCATTCATTGCTTGTTGATTGTACAGTGACCGATTAGATATTTGTTGATTATGGAACTGAGAGCCAACAGATGATTTACTGCTGCTGTCACTTTAATCTGTGACACAAAGTACGCATGTCCTTGGCTTTCCTCCAGTACTGATTTTACTTTCACCCTCTGCACCTTGGAAAGTTTCTGTTTTCCCAGCCCTCAGCTGTCACAGCCATGCTTTCTCTGTCGTTTCGCCAAACATTACGGGTGAGTACATTTTTAATAATGTATTTTTCTTAGAGCTTTTATATGCGCTGATACAAGTAGGTCTCTGACACTGTCTCTGGAGAGAAGATGTACCCAAATCACTTATTACTGCAAACTAGGTCATCTCGGGTCACCTCAAACATGATAGAAACGTCTCTTTTGAAGATGCACACTGTGACCAAATGTGTTTTCAATGTGCACTCCAGTTTCTCAGGTGCTGCCATGATAGGTGTGATTATCTCAGGTTGTCAAAACAGGAAGGAGTGCTACTGTTTGTCCCAGAATATTTGGAGAAAAGTTGACTGTACACCGTATGCTTTATGCAAGACTTAATTTACTCAAGGCTTAGAAAACATATTAACAGAGAAGATGAAAGGAGTCTTGCTACAACACATATTTATGACTGAACGATAATCTTTCTATTAGGCCAAAGTAACACATGGTTACGTAACTATCATGCCACTACCAGCTGCCTTCAACAAACAAGACCCTGATAAATAAACGTGTGTGTGTGTGTGTGTGTGTGTGTGTGTGTGTGTGTGTGTGTGTGTGTGTGTGTGTGTGTGTGTGTGTGTGTGTGTGTGTGTGTGTACACGTTTCATGTCCAAGGTTTCCCCCAACTGCTCCACACGTTTGTTTTTTTCACTGGCTTTCATTTAATGGATTGTTTAGAACATCAAAAGACGCATTATTCTAAGTCCCTTGTTTCCAAAAGTATTATCATTTTGAGTGATGAAAGTGTTTATTGCAGAGGTTGTTCAAAAGAGACCAAAGGAGCTATCTTTGAAAAACACAAGTCAAAATAACTTTTACTCTGCACAGAGTGCCAAATTGCACAATGGAGAGTTGCATCAAATCCTGTGACTTGGGTTTTATTAAAAACACAGCGTTTGTTGAAAAGCACAATATCTCTCCAGGGTCTTCCCGAACAGAGAGCCGTAATTGTTTAAGAAGAGGTTATTTGGATGTTAACCCTGAATGATATTGTTGTGTGTTCACCCTCCGCCCCGTGCAGCCCTTCTTCCACAGGGCTTCAGGAGGTCTGGGTCGAGAGGGGCAGGTCCCAGCGGGGTCATGCAGGCGAGGCCTCGTGAGCGCCGGCGGCTGGACGGGACAGGAGACCCTGGCCCAGGACGACCCAGAGATGTGGAGCCTCCTGCAGCAGGAGAAGAACCGGCAGTGTCGGGGTCTGGAGCTCATCGCATCAGAGGTACAGAGGAGGGAGACAGGAGTAGTATTGGGTTTACATTCACTCTTAAAGGTCCCCTATTATACAATTTTTCAACAATATATTATAGTTCTCAGATATATACAAAACATGTCTCTGAAGTGTTTGGCTCAGATCATGCATTGTAGCATCCCATAAACCCCTCTGTTTCAGCCCTGTTTCAGAAGTGCTGATTCCGTGTCTGTAGCTTTAAATGCAAATGAGCTGCTGCTAGCCACGCCCCTCTGAGAGATATTTGGTTTAAAAAAACACGATAGTGCTCTAGGAGGAGATTCAGGTGATAAGGTGGCGGGTGTTACCTTGGTTTGTTATTGGCTAATGGTTGCACAAGCCAAAACACATTGGGACATCACAAAGTGGCCAAAATCTGATCAGCAGGTTTTTATATAGATGGTCAAAAAGAGATACACTTTTTTTCTTGAAACTTTTAGAGGAGACATATTGATGCATTCAAGACATGAAAAAGTGGATTGTGCATAATAGGTGACCTTTAACAAAACAAATAAAATGTTTTAAAGTGTTTTAACTTAGTAAGCCAATACCTTGGTAAAATAAGCTTTTTCAAACTGAAAATGGAAAGAAGCCTTTAATCATACAGCCTTAAATACAGAGTGATGTCATAAGGTCAACATTAGGCTACATCAGATGCATGCTGCCCACAAAGCACACTGCCACAACATGTACTTGATATGTTTCTGTTTGTTTCCCACAATGACCCTGGTACTATATTTCTATAACAGATAGGAGGCTTAAACCCCCACATGTAAACCATATGTTGCAGTTGCTTTAAAAGATAAACAATATTCTTCACAACGTCTTCCATCTTAATCTTCATTGTATACGCACCATTCAGACACAGGTTGAATGTAAGCTGTGATGACCCATGTCCCCTAGTGACTGTTTAAATGTGTGCTCAGTATCTTGCGTCACACATACTAGTCTGTGTGTGAATTTGGTCAAGAAATAACAGGTGTGTTTTTAGGTTGTGCTATGTAATGGGTTTTTAACATTACGATTTCACTTCTCCCAGAGAAGACCTCAGCCTTACAGACAAACACAGATAGTTTACTGTCAAGATTCAACCTAAATGTTAAAACATACATGTAATAATCACAATATAGTCAGATGTTTAGCCAAATAGTGAGCCTACAAGGCATAGTTCAGTATCTGCCTGGAGTTTCTCGTAAAGGGTGATGGCTTAAAAATCCTTCTTTGTGTCTTTTGCACAATGGCAGCAGCACAAACTGTGAAAAAGGCGACGACAAGATTCTCTGTAGACAGACGTGATAACAGTGTAGAAGAAGTTAAACTGCAGAGGACCCTCCTTTGGTAGTAACAAGAAAATATGTTTCTTCAGACATTTTTATTTTGCATTTTTCCCCTTTCAAATCTGCGATCTAATCTAAGGGAAAGCTGACGGGGAAGAAAGGACATTGTATTCTTCTATTCACCAGTAAATTATACAGTGTTATTATGACATCTGAAATATTTATTTTAGTTGTGCATGTGCAGTTAGTTACTGCTTCAGACTCACTCCCAATGGAGGCTGCAGTTTTTTCCTTTTTCTTCAGGACCACAGTCAAGTGATCCCATTAGGTTTCCTCACCGATTTCTGCCATTAATCTCCCAAATTTCAGGCTGGGATAGAAGAGTAGGGGCTATTTTGTATGTGTGTTTGTCAAGATAGTGTTTGGAAAATGTCATAGAGAGAGTTTTGTGTCACACTGAGGGCTGGTTTTAAATCCCACTGGAGTGATTGAGGGATCCCGGAGCAGTGACACTTTTGGTATAATAACAAGACAGAGGGGGCGGCTGCGGAGGCCAGAGAGGGAGACAGGGAGAGAAGATGAGCAGGAGAGAGTGGGAGAGAAAAAAGAGAGACAGAGACAGGGAGAGAAATTCATTTGCATTCATTTCCTTTTCTGCAGCTCCATCTCTCCTCTGACTCTGTGTCAGACTCTGAGTGTCTTTGGAACATTTGACACATTGCTGAACCCCACAGGGATTCAGTATTAGTTCGATTTCTCTATATTCCTCTTTTTATTTGACTATAACATCTTTTAATCCCCTCATATTTTTGAGATATTCTATATTAATTCAGTGTTGCACCTTTTGTAAGATGAATGCAAAACAAATTAACAGATTTAGATGGAGTTGATTATCCTTTGAGACTTTGGTTTGTATAATTGGTATTTGCAAAGATTTGAACTGTGGTTGTACTGCAGGGGGGTTCAGTCACCCTTATCCAGGTAAATAAGGTTATATTTGGATGGTGACAGTGTTCGGAGTATGAGCAAACATAATGTACCATGTGTGGCAGTGGATCTTGACACTGTGCTTGTTTGTCAGAACTTCTGCAGCCGTGCAGCGCTCGAGGCCCAGGGCTCCTGTCTCAACAACAAATACTCTGAGGGGTACCCAGGACAAAGGTAACTACGGACAACGCACTATCCAACGTATGCTGTTACAATTATTACAACATTTTTCAGAAGCTTACACTCTTGTGAAATTTCTTAATGGCTATTTTACTCCCTTATATGCTGTATTATAATGTAACAATATAATACTAAACTATACAATATATAACAGTACATAACAATACAATATGTAACAATACAATGTGTACAAATACAAGACATAACAAAACAATACGTAATGATACCATACGTAAAAATAAAAACGATAACGATACAATACATAATGACGCTACATGCAATAATTGTATATGTAATCATACTATTTATAACAATACGGTATAACACAATACATATTTTGTTACTGTATGTAATGATAATATACGTAACAATACATCACAGTAGTGGGCGTCTGTGGCTACGAGGCAGTGCGTTCGTCTTTCAACCAGAAGGTAGTTGGTTCAATCCCAGGCCGTGCAGACAACATGTTGATGTAAACTTGGGCAAGATACTCAACCCTGAGCTGCTCCTGATGGCATGGTCAACGTTGTATCAATGTGTGTGAATGTTAGCTTCCTAGAGCAAGTGGCATGAATGAGGTGTGAAAGGGTGAATGACGTAGTATGCTAAGCGCTATATAAGTACAGTCCATTTACCATATCAAATAAAGGTCAAAATAGGACAAGACAAAATGATACAAAACAATGATCAGTGTTTCCCCTACCATTGTCTTGGAGGGGCGCTGCGCCCCGTCAACGGAGCCCCGCGCCCCCCCTGAAATTCAAGGTGTTTAAAAAAAAAAGTATTATTATTATTATTTATTTATTTTTAATATATATATATAGCACCAAATTGCAACTAATCTATATCTACTGTCACTTTTCACATTGAACATGTGCTCTTTTATTAAATAAACTAAACGCTTTCATTTTAAGTTGTGAGTTTAGTGTTTTTGACCCTAAGAAACACTGATGCATTAATCAATAACAATAATCCACAGCTCCTCTCTCT